CCCCCGCCCGGCAGAAGCTGGGCTTGCGGGAGAAGAAGAAGGACTACAGGCTCCGCGCCGAGTGAGGGGGGCCGCCGGGAGGGGAGGGCGATAGGACAAGGGGAAACGGCCTCAGGCTGCGCCAGGGCAGGTTTAGGTTGGATATTGGGAAAACTTCTTCCCCCAAAGGGCTGTCAGGCCCTGGCCCAGGCTGCCCAGGGCAGGGGGGGGGGCCCCATCCCTGGAGGGATTTAAAAGCCAGGGAGATGTGGTGCTTGGGAACATGCGTTAGTGGTTGGACTCTGATCTTAAAGGTCTTTTCCAACCTAAACGATTCTATGATGGCTCCGGGCTGGGCCCGAGGTGCGGCCTCAGCACCGGGAGCAAGGCGGGCAGCCCCGGCGGTGTTCCCGGCTCTCCCCGGGCTCCGGAGTGTTACCCTCTGGCCGGAGTGGCTTCTGCACCGTGGTGTCACAGATTGCAGAGACGATGTGAAGAGCTGGTGTTCTTGGTTGCACAAAGTGGTGTACCTGATCCCCAGCTAGCAGGCACTTTCATAGAAACAAATGCGACGTGCACAGACAGCTCAATATCCCTCTGGTTGAGTCAGAGGGAAGGGCAACACGGAGGACAAAGGCCTCACAAAATCATTATTATTGTGATTAATACAAAACCCGTAAGCATTATCTTTCATCTTCAGTGACTGATTCTGCAGAAGATCTAGCAGTCCGAAGCAGCTCAGTAAGCTTTGCAGAATGGGTGAATGTGTTTCCATCCCTCCTCTAACACTTACTGTTGGACACTATTCATTTCCAGCTTTGTTAAGGAATAAACTGTAAAGCTAAAGTCATATGTTGGTGTCCAGCTCTACATGCGGAGCCTTGTCTGCTGTCTCAAAGCTCTGAGCGTCACTTTGAAGGAGTCAGCATCTCATCAGGGAGCGTGAACATGGAGAAACTGCTGAACAACTTCGGGTTTTGGTTTTTTTTCTCCCCAGTGACTATCACAAGAAACAGAATGCCCTCAGAGCACTTCAGAAGAAAGCTCTGGACAAGAATCCTGATGAGTTCTACTTTAAAATGATACGTGCAGAGCTCCAGGTGAGAATCTAAATTGCCTTCAAGCAGGGTTACGCTCCATTACTCTAAGTAACATCATTTTCTTTCCTACTTTGTTTTGTTTTTAATTTATGAATTAGTAAATAAATTAGCAGACTTGGTTTGGTGCCTGTGGAAGGCTTTGAAGAAAATGAGGGGCAAAGGACAAAAAGGTTCCTTTGCTTTTATTATTAGGACCCGTAGTACACCATAGCTAGAATGGTATCTGTCTGTAAGTGCTATGTTCCGTCTGGTTTTAGGATGGAGTTCATGTAATAAAGCAGCCAAAGGATGAAGTGACCCCCGAACAGGTGAAATTGATGAGGACACAAGATATTAAATATGTGGAAATGAAAAGAGTGGCAGAAGCCAAGGTAATACTTGACTTTTTTAGTGTTTCCCAGTTTGCTCAGAATTGTTCTTTTTATCGTGTTTTTTTTGTTGTTGTTGGCTGTTGTGTTTATGTTTAGTGGAATCTGATTTGTGTGATACTGAAAATGATAGATGGAAATGTCAGTGGAGCTCTGTATATAGAACCTAAAGGTATACTGAATAATAAAAAATATACTATGCATTATTGTAAAACGTGGCAATTTCTTATGGAAATTTCAGACATTAAACACATACTTTTGGTTCTCATATTTATAAAGAATTGAGGATTATTGTTACTGAAGTGGGTGGCTTGACTATGGCAGGCAGGCAATCAACAGAAATATGACCCATTTCTGAAGGTGTTTTGTGCTCTGGTGTTGATCCACACACCATCACTGCAGATAAAAAATTAAAGTCAGCTTTGAATTTTCCTTCATACTTTTGCTAGTGATTTCATGGTAACCATTCCTACTTTGTCTGCCATAGGGATAACTTACTGTTTTGAAAATTGATTTGTCCATGTTTGGCTGGGCAATTACCTCTACTCAAAAAGGTTACAAAGACATAACATAAATATAGACTAGATGTACTTTCAAAGATTAAAAAGGAAGGAAGAGTTCCGATGCTTGTAAGGTTGAGAAACAAACAAGCATTTACTTCAGGGGGACGTTACTTACATTGTAACAGATGTTTGGCAAAACAGAGATTAACTTTGCTTTCCTGCAGAAAATCGAGAGGCTGAAGTCGGAGCTCCATCTGCTGGATGCTGAGGGGAAGAATCCCAATAAGCACGTGTTCTTCTTTGATACCAAAAAAGAAGGTGAGAATGAAATCGGTCTTATCAGAAAGCTTGTTCTAGGATGTTTTACCGTAGGCTGTTGAAAATAGTATGGTGTTTTCTTTATGCTGTTGTCATAAAAAAAAAAGATTTTTGTTTTTCAGGAGTAATAATTCAGGTGCTCTAGAAATCTCTTTTGATTATTAGATAAGACCTCGGTTCTGCAGGAGCTATGTTGCTGGGGCTTCCCATTGCTGACTTAAGCTGCATGTTTGGAAGGTTTGCTGAGCATTAGTCCAAGAAGTCCCTGTGAGTTTATTCCTAAATTTCTTTTTATTTATAGTTCAGGAGTTTGATATTGCAACTCATCTGGATACTGTTCCAGAGCTCGTAGATAGAGTGTACAACCGACCGACCATTGCAACATTGCAGAAGGAGACACTGAAAGGAGCTACAGATCCTGCCCACTTAAAGGTAGTTTGTCCTGCCACTATTTGTGGCAGGTTTTATAGTTTTCTTAATGTTTTACATCTTTTATATAATAAGCATTAAAGAGGATTCGTTGGACTGTTGTGGAGGAGAACAAAGTTGTTCTCTTGTCTTAGAATTTTTATTGGTGACACGAGGCTGTAGTGGATGTCGCTTAATCGTCAAGTGCCTGGAGCCTACAGTCAAATCTCCTGGACCGACACGGAGAACTTGTTCAGTCGTATCCCAGTCCACTGTGGATTATAAATCAAGAGTTGCGATGTATGCGCCAGAAAGGAATGGTATAGATCCGATTAGGCAGTTTCCTTGGCAAAATTGATACGTTTCTCCTCTGCTACACGACAAAAAACGTACACCTATGGGACTATCTTTTCATTAGATTGCTGCAGTTGTAAGTGTGATTTTTGCAGCATCCGCTGTTAAGTCTCCCCTCACACCTCCCCAAAAACCCTTGCACCCCTGAATAGGGATGTGAAGAAGCTTATTCCAACATAGATGTATATACTGTTGGGTTTCTGATCTCATGGTGTTTTTCAGTTAGGTTCTGAGCCTGGAGTGACTTGAGATTCAGGACTTGTCTCCCCCCATTTCTTCTTAAAGACAGTTAAGCTATAGTCTCACTTCCCGGCTTTCCTAATTCAAAGTGTTTCATGATCCTTCAGGATAAATTGCTGATGCAATCCGCTTTGATTCTGATGCTTTAATATCACAGCACTTCTGTCCTAGAAGCAGCTACACTCGGCTTTAACACTGTAAACACCGCTTAATTAGTTTAGATATATTGGCAGTCCTGTAAGCTGGAGTTGGTGTGTGTCAGGTAAAAACAAAGTTGTCTAAAATTGCTGATTGGTAAATTTGTAACCTGTTGTTTTCTGAACCAGATGTCAGATAACAAACACCCTGTGGTCCCTTTCTTCTTGCCAGCTTTCTCCGTTTGGCTTGTCAGTAAAGCAGTTGGACAAGTTGTAGACCGACAAGTTTTCTCCTCTAGATGTCTGAGTCATTTTAAGCACGTTGGGATCTGTTCTCCTTAATTTAATTACTTAAATCACACCTGCACTAATACCATTTCTGTGCTGGGAAAGCCATCCGCTCGTAGTAGGTAAACGTGACCAAACAAGTTGCATTTTGGGAGGCCTCTGTGCAATTTCTAAGCACTTCGGGAATTGGTCTCTGGTCTTTTTTTTTTTTCTTCCCCCGCCCCTGGATAAACTGGGTTTTGTTAGGGCGTTAAATGTTATCTTGCACTCAACACCGAAATTCAGAGGATTTAGAAAAATGAAATTCCAGCCACTTACTGAACAGGGTTACACAGCATCTAAACTAGGTTAGAAGAGGTTTGGTTTTTTATGTTTGGATTTAGGAGATTAAAACAAGCACAAAGAATTAAGTCCTAACTAGAAAACCCTCTAGTATGAGAATCAAGATGGTAAAATGGTTCTCTGGAATCTAGCCACAGAATTGAAGCAGCATTCTTTAATATGATTATGATTTTAAAATGTAAAAAATGTTTGTGAGGTTCAGGTGCCTCAGAATAGGTCAGTTATAGATTGTAGTGTCTTGTTCCTGTCTTAAAAATGCCTTTTTTTTTTTCTTTTTCCAGAAATTAGCCCAGCAAAGGAAGAATCAGTATGACCTCCTGAAGCAGCGCATTGAAAGAGAAAAGGCCATGTTTGTTATTGCACAGAAAATCCAGACACGTAAAGATCTTTTGGTGAGGGATTTCATTCTGCTTCTTTGAATCTGTTTGTTTTTTTTAAGGTCACTAGGTCTGGTTTTGTATGTATGTGTTTCTTCACTCTGATTTTATACTGATACTTCCAGATAACTCCTAAAAATAAGTAATCCTCTTTTAGAATGGAAAAAGCGAGGAGATGAAGCATTCCAGTTGTTCCACAGCTAGTAAACTGTATCTGCTAGTCCAAGCAAGGACAAAGACTCAACTTTGAAATGGAGCTCACAAGTCTTTTCTAAAATACTGTTGCCATCTCTCAAGTACTGAATGAATGCTTTCAAGTAGGAGAGGCAAGGAACCATTTCTGTAGGTTATGAGAAGATCTTAAAAATCCCAATGACCAAAAAAATTATTTGTCTCGATGGGACTCACCATTCACTGGTGCTTGTGAACAAAACAGATTGTGCCTGACAGCCTAAAGGCGGAAAGAGCGGACAGAAACAGAATTCCCACCTAAACAGTGGAAGGTGACCGTTTTTCACTAATGCCTTGTTACTCCCAGACAGGGGCTTTCTTATTTCTATGAGGGTGGGTTGTTTAGGTTTTTTTTCTTCTTCGTACATGCCAGGAAATATTTTTTTCTTCTTTTCCAGGACAAAACTCATAAAGTAAAGGTGAAGAAAGAGACAACAAATGGTCCAGCTATTTACAAATTCAAATTTCAGCGGAAACGTTAGCCATTCCATTAAATAATTGTTGCCATCTTTGCTTAGGAAGAAAGAGGATTTGCCTTATGAAGAAGGACTGATAACACCGTATCAGTTTGTTTTTCACTGCAGCCTAGCACTTTGTTAAAACCAATTGCTGTGGGCCTGTGATAGCCATAAATATATTGTATCTAATTAATTGATTAATAAATCAGAGAGTTTGTTCTCTTGGTATTTACAGTGGGAAGCCACAAGAGGTGCCTGAACGTCCTAGTAATACGCACCATAAACAATCCTTGAAAAGTCAAGGTCAAAATTAAGAGAGTGGGAGATGGGTTGCACGCAGCCCGTGGGCAGAGAAGGTGCTCTGGGCTCGTTACCTTCAGCTCTGTGGCCGGTGACCCCGACACCTCCAAAACCATACGAGATTTCAGGTCAGCTTTTTTAGCTATCTTTTAAAGCAGAGTTAAGTTGAATGACTGTCTTTCTAATCAGTCACCCCCTCCAGCCCCCAATCCCTCTAATCTTCCCATTCTGCTTTATCTATCTGCACTGAAAAGTATTCTTTATATACTAAAGTATTCCTTATATACTAAAGTATTTCACTTCAAAATGTACGAGGTGAAAGGCAGTGCTAAATTCAGGCACCGTATGAGCCAAAGACTATTCTGGAATGGTGCTAGAAGCAGGCAATTGTTTCTTCCAGTGTACAGAAAGGAAGCAAAACTCGCCCTTTATGAATAGTTTCCATAGCTGAGGAGCTGTTTGTGCTTATTCTGTCTTCTGCCGTACGATGGCGTGGTGCCCGTGCCACGCCAAATTTCCAGTGTTGCCTGCTGCGTTCGAGGAGAGGCGATACTGAAATTCACAGGGAGGGACAATACCGAAGCCGGCTGTGGGACAGAAGTTTGTCCTCTTTTGTTTAGGTTGTGCTTGTTGCGATGTTGGTAGTTGGAAGGGGGTTTCAAGCGAGAACAATAAAGACGCATCCTTGAGTGTCCCGGAGCAGTTCGGGCAAGTTGAGAGAGCCTGGGCGTAAACATTCCTTTTCTTATCTCTCTCACTTGCACTGTGTCTGCCAATAATAAGCACATGCCCATGCAAGACGGTAATGAAAAAAAAGATGCTCTTCTCAAGCTCTTCCCACTTCGGGAGCCTTCCCGGCCTCTCTTGGCTGAAACGTGACTTTTTTACGTGCTCAAATGCCGCTTCAGACGTCGTTTCTGCCATTGCAACAATTGCGGGGTGAATTTTTTTCTGGGAAGGATTAAGGGAGGTGCTCTGCTTTGCTCTGAAAAGTCCTTGCGATGCTCTCCTGCGGGAGGTGAAGCCCTGCCGTTCCAGCGGTAATGGCGCTACGAGCCATCGCGCACCCGACGACCAGGAGGGAAAGTGAAGCAGAGCGCCCGGGAGAACCTTTCTCCTTTCCCTCCCTCCCGGGAAAACACGCGCGCCACTGAAAGCTGCAACGCTTTTTTCCCCCCCGTGAAAAGCGGCTTCCCCGCCGCTGGCAGAGACGGCGAGAAACGGCAAGAAACGGCGGGGGGGGCCCCCCCCC